GGTGGCAGCAGCACGGGCTGAGGGTGGCAGCAGGGACCATCTGGGCTGGTTGTGCTACAGAGGAGCTTCCTGGAGTGCCCGACCACGAGAGCAGCTGCGGGCTGAGAATTCTGAAAACTCCTCCCTCCCTGGGCTGTGGGCAGGGTTGCTGGAACACTTTCAGTTTTGTTTCTCTCTCTGTCCGCAAGAACTGAAACTGGACGAAGTCTCCAGAGGCAAGAACATGGAGGGAGACTCTCAGATGTGCAGGAACTGGTAAGAAGCTGCCTTCCCTAGTGGCTGACCTGAGGCTGGCTGACCAGGGGAGCAGGCAGGATGAGGCTGTTTCTCAAGTGAGGAGAAAAGGATCCATGTACCCTGGAGGGCCAGGGCGGGCCCCTGCGGTGGGGAGGTTCAAGCTCAGTAGATGTCTGAGATGATGAGAGGCGGTCAGGGTCAGTAACAGCCCTGCCCAGCCCCCGCCCCCCACCCCAGATATTTCACTTTCTGGGACAGTTCTAAAGCCAAACAGCCAGGCTAACTGTCCTGCTGCGCTACTAGTACTTGGCAGACCTTGGGTTCTAATTTGTGATTCTGATCATATGCTCTTCACCCAGTCTTTGAAAGAAAGTGACCCACAGAGACTGCTGGGTACCCTTCCCACCCTCACTTTGAGGGGGAGCTGTGGAGCAGGGTGAGGGGATGGAGCAAGGGTCCCAGACCACACCTCTAACTCCGGGGGACCTGGCCCCTTGAAGCATTTCGCTCTTGAAGCTCCCTACCTGTGGCAGGAACCAGAGGGATCCCTCCCAGAGAGCCTTCTCTCGCCAGGCCCTGCTGGCTCTCTGGTGTCTGAACCAGCTCAGGAAGGACAGCCGGGGGGACAGGGCAGGGAGAGCAGTGGGGGAAAGGGGCCAGGCCAGGCAGAAGGGCAAGAGGAGAGGGCGGGAATGGGGAGCAGCCCTTGGGCCGTCTGCCTGGGCGGTGCGGAAGCCAAGAGCTTGTTCAGACCAAGAGGAGTGAGGCTCTAGCCACTCCCCTCTGGCCACATCCCCTGTGCCCGGGACGGGGGTGGGCAGCTCTCATCATCCTTTGGGCCTTTAAGGCTATGGCCACTGCTGTCCTTTCTCCCATGCTACCAAAAGCAAGAGCTGGGAGCAATGAAAGAAGGCATTTCTGGGTGATGAGGAGCATTAAGAAACGCCCTGCCCAGGAGCTGGAAGACTCAGAAGCCTTCTCCAAGAAGGGTCTCAGAACCTCTCTGCAGGTCGCACAGGGGACAGAGAGACAGCCTCTCACTCTCAGAGACGTGGGAAGCGCTCCCTGTGGGGATTCTGAAAGCTGGCATTGCCCTTGCAGGGAGCGTGAGCGTGGCAGGGCTGGATTTCCAACCGGCTATGGGTCAAGCAGGGGAACACCTGAAAACAAACAAAATATTTGATATTTGTTATTTCATTTTAAAAACAGTTTTACCGAGGTATGATTGACATAGTTGCATTTATGGTACATTTTTAAAGTGTACCATTCGACACGTTTGACATATGTATATACCCGTGGAGCCGTCACCACTGTCAAGACCATGAACCTACTCATCCCCTCCCCAAGTGTCCTCAGGACCCATTGTGACCTCTCCCTCCTGCTCCTCCTCGCCCACTCCCTCTCAGCCCGGGCGGTGGAAGAGCTTGTGGAGGGTCCTGACACTTATTTCATGGTTTTCTTTGCATTGCTCTGACTTAGGACCAGCATGGGGAAGGGGACAGGCAGTATCACCATCACCTTTTCAGTGCTTAAGGCCTCAAAACACCTTAGCCCAGCAGCCCTGGGTATGAAAAACAGCTCCAGGCTTTATACCATGAAATAAGCCTGTTTTCCCTCCTGCAGCAAAAGAAGCGTGGCGTCTGCGCATCTGGCCCTGCACGAGGCCCACTGCCTGCTGTTCCTGGTCCTCTGCCCGGAGTGCAAGGAGGCCGTCCCGCAGGAGAAGATGGACGAGCACTGCAGGGGCGGGCACCAGCAGGTGAGGCGGCGGGAGCGGGACGGAGGTGGGAGTCCCGCCCTCACTGCAGCACCTCGGGGCACCCGTCCCCCAGCCCCTGTGTGCCAGCCTTCACTGCGGTGGGAAGGGTAATTCATTCCGCCTTTCTTGTACTGAGCGGAGGCGACTCCAGGCCTTCCCACTCCCAATTCCTTCCCTACAGGGGTGAGGATTCGGCCAAGGCAAGGGGCCCCTGTTTCAGGAAAGGTACAATGTTCTTTTGAGATGTGTCCAGAGGGGAAGCAGGAAAGGAGAGCTCCAGAAGGCAGCTGTGGCCAAGGTCAGTCAAAGGCTGACCCCTCTCCTGCTGTTTCTGGAGCTCCTCACGCTCAGCAGTTCCCACAGTCGCTCCTCGAACACGGGGCTGGTGCTGCAGGGAGCCGAGGGCACCTGATCCCTGCCCCGAGGCCTTCACACCCCCGACACCCGACACATGGAGCCAAGGCGTCTCCCTCTGTGCTCCTAGGTGGGGTGTGCCATGTGTCAGCAGAGCCTGCCGAAGCACTCGCTGGAGGTTCATGAGGTGAGAGTCAAGCGTGATTTCTCCGGCACCGCCAAGCCCGGGAGATGGAGGGGTGGGCAGTGATAAAGGTTCCCCCCGAAGCTCTTGCTTCGGCCCAGGCAGGCTTGGGGAACGATGGGGACCTAGCTCACCAGAGGGACACCAGGCCTCCCGCCTCCAGATGCCGCTCAGAGGTGCTCCCCGTGGTCCATGAGCCCGAGAGATCCCCCCCTCCGGCCCTCCCTGTCTGCTTTCTCTTACCGGCTTCAATCCCCCGGGGAAATAAGCTCATCTCCCCAACCCGACTGCAGTCACTGCAGGCCAGTGACCGTGTCAGTCCTGCCTGCCTCTCCGCAGGCCACGGAGTGCCAGGAGCGCCCGGTCGAGTGCAAGTTCTGTGAGCTGGCTGTGCGCCTCAGCAAGGTGGAGCTGCACGAGCACCACTGTGGCCAGCAGACGAAGCTCTGCCCCGGCTGCGGCCAGCTCTTCATGCTCCATGTGCTGGCCAAGCACAGAGATGTGTGTCGGGGCGAGCAGGCCCGGCTCCAGGAAGGTGAGCAGCACAGGCAGGGGAGGGGAGCGGAGCCTCTCTTGGACGGGGTGGCCAGGGGTGTAAGCTCTCATCAGGACAGGCGACACGTGTGTGATGACATACCAGGTACCAGAGCGGCCTTCTTGTGTGTCTGCTGTGGTCTTTACATGACTGGTCCAGGGAGACCAAGAGGCCGGGGGGGGGGCGGTCTTGGGAGCTACACAGATGAGTGCAGAGGCCACGCGGGTCTGCAAAACGGGAGGCCTCCTTTGAACTCCTCCAGCACGATTCCAGCCTGGCAGAGATCCACCTGCATCCTTTTACAGATAGGATGAAACAAGGGCTTGCTAGAGGCAGAAGCCAGGCAGGA